ATATCAGGCCTTGCTTTAAATAAAAAAGTGCTTAATGCATTAGCTTAACGCGATTTTGACGTCATAAAATTATCTTTATTTTTTTTTATAGACGTTAAGTGTTTAAATTACCGCAATAAATAAATAACCACAATCTAGTTCAATTTAACAATTAACTCAAATAACTATAAATATTTTAAATGTAAATTTATTATGAAAATTTTGTAATATCTTCAAGCGTTATTTTATTATTAATTTTAGTTCAATATTATTTAGAAATATATATATATATATATATATATATATATATATATATATATATATATATATATATATATATATATATATATACATACATATATATTAAAAATATATATATATTTTAAAAATATATATATATTTTTTAACTATTTCTGAAATTTGTTTTTGAATAATTATTGTTTATAAATCGTTATTGAATAAAAAATGATTTTTTTTATTTTTAAAAGTTTCTGTAGTAAACAAAAAAGATTAACATTGATAAACACAAGCCCATGTTAATTATTTAAACAGCGATTTTGTTTTGACTAGCAAAGAATAATTTAGGTTTTTAAATGTTTTTTAAATTTATCTTGCTTAGCGTTTCAACTTGCGTTATATAAAAATATAAAAAAGTTTTGTCTGCTTTGAGCATATTTTTGATATGTAGTTTAGAACGCGTTCACCAGGAATTTAATTCATAAATTTTTTATTGTAAAAATGTTTTACATTTTAAACAAATCACAAAGAAACAGAGCTATAGAGAAAAATCGTTTTTAACGGTTAAATCTTTTTTTTTTTTAAGTTTTAGGAAATTAAAAAAAAAAATTAAATTAAATATAAAAGTCTTAACTATGCAAACTCTTTTATTAATTATTCTTAAAACAAAAAACAAATACTTTTACACAAAACTTTAAATAACTAAAATAGTTTAAGTATATTAAATAATTTAAATTGTATCTGTTTATAATAAACGTTCGTAAAAATTTGTTTATTAAAAATTAAGTTCCTTAACTTATAAACAAACTCAAAAGTATTTTCATTATACGTATAATTACAAAACTTTTTTTTTTTTCGTTTGTAAGCAATTTAACTTAATAAAATAAAAAAAGAATAAATATGAGGTAATCATTGTTAAGAACAAATTTAATTTATTTATTGAACTATATTTTTATTTTTATTTATATATCAACTTAATTAAAATATAGTAACGTGTTTAAATATTTTAACATGACTTGTGTTATTTATAAACCATAGGGCAGCTGCCCTTACGGCACCATTGTTTTTGGATAATATTTTATTTTAATGAAGATCACATAACTTACACTTGATTTTAATAGCGTAAGTCTTTTCTTTTTTTCTGTGATCATCGCATCGGCAAAGTCCCAAGATTTGAAAGTTTTTAAAGTAAATCTTTTGTCTTTCAAAATACAATCTATATTCGAACTTTAAACAATTTAGAGAGAGTAGAAATATACAAGGTTCTTATATACTAGTTCTTATATACTAGTTCTTATATACTAGGTTCTTATATACAAGGTTCTTATATACTAGTTTTTCTTGTTTTAAAAAGAAAAATACATATTCATTAGTAAAAAATAGAGACTGTCGTTAAACTAAAACGTGCCTGTATTTATTTAACGAAATCTGTAACGTGTGCATGCATAATGAAACCTCCGTTATATAAATATATTCAACGTAGTATTAGTGTAATCAGCGGGTGTTGTTGTCTACTCGTGATTTCTTTCTCTTATAATATAACTTGAATTATGAAAAAAACTTATTGAATCGCACGCAGATGAAATTTAACAAATTGTCTTCATTCAAAAGTTGCGAGTAACAGGTAATTTTTTTTCTCTGTGCTGGCCCCCTCCCCCTGCATAACTTAAAGGTAAAGGTAAATATATCTTTAACTAATAAGAAAAGCAAAGAATAATAATTAATGAAGTAATTTTAAGAAAAATACAAATACAAATTAGAAAAATACAAATTGTTCATTCATTGGCACATTTTTTTTAATATCTCGAAAAAATGTCTTGATATTTTTGTTATCATGATAACATTTTTATTATAAATTCAGTAAAAAATTCTTAAAAAATCTATATTGCAAAAAACATTTATATTCTGTATTAATAAATATGGAATATATATTTTTTTAAAGTTTTTTACTGAAAACTTTAAAAAATTACTACTTTTTATTAAAAACATTGCAAAAAATTTGCAGTTATAGATTGACGAACAATTTTTCATGTTGCTAAATATTTGGATAAAAAGTTTAGCGTAAAATTAATTGCTATAAAAAGGTAAGATATATCGCGATGAAAAGTTACAACAATTATTTTTAACTTAAATTCTTTTTTGTAATAAATATCTTTACATATCGTTATTTAAAAGTTAATGTGGTTTTTTTAAAAATTAATTACTTCTTTTATGTTACCGCTAATTTAAAGGTTAAAAAATGATAAAAAGTAGCTTAACCAAAACAGCTCTACGCATACGTAAAAATCGCTCTAGGCGTAACACTTTAAAACAAGGCCTGATATATATATATATATATATATATATATATATATATATATATATATATATTTATATATATATATATATATATATATATATATATATATATATATATATATATATATATATACCAGGGATTATCTTTTTCCAGATATTTCCGGAATTCCGGATATTTTTTTCAACTTTTAGTTTTTCCGGATATCTAAAAAATTTTCAATACGTGCAAGTTGAGGTATATATTTTTGTAATATATTGGTTTTTTAAAGCTTTTTCACTCATCAATCATAGAAAAATAATGAAAAGTGTCAAAAAAAAATGAGAAAAAACTTAGCTAAAAAGAAAATCAGGCTTGGTCGGGAAGCGGGTGCGATCGCACTCAATAACTGACCACGGAAATATTATTTAGTTGCGAAAAACCGGCCAGATTTTTTAGTCGTTTTGAGAACATTTCAAAAACAAGCAAAAAAGCGCATTAAGGTTAACTGGACCGACGAGAGACAGTTAAAAAAAGAAAAATAGCTTTTAACTCGATAAAAAGCGAAAAGCAATTATTTTTGAAACGTCGCTCTTTTATAACTTTTTTTATAAAATAAAGCGACATTTTTTATATAAAGTAACAACTATAAAAAAACAAATATTCTTCGATTTATCAAAGAGTATATATAATTTTTATTTATATACTTATGTCTTATTTCCAGTGCTGGATTGAGGAAGTGGGGTGGGGGTAGTAGGGCTATAGCCCCGGGATTCACAATGTTAGGGGAAATAGTCAAAAGGACCATTTGGTACTTTTCTAAGTCATTTTTACGTTGTGGCACATAAAAAAGGCAGCCAAAATAATGCAGCCTCTGGCCCTGAAAAGACCAACAAGATTCAACCAGATGATTTATTTATAAATAAAAGTTTTTTCAATAACTGCTTCCTGTAGTTTAAAAAGTTTAACACATTTGAAACAATTCTTCTTAATAAGATGAACAAATGAAATAATTAAATGATTGAGTTACTGTAGAAATTCAATTAGCTAGATAAAAATTACCAAAAAAAGTTAATTTACTTTGTGAGGAGGAAGTGGAACTGCTTTACAATACCGCTGATGATGTTTAGTGAGTGGACTTCATAATTTTAATTAGTATTTAAAACAGAAAAAAATTAACTTTAAGTATAACGAGTTAGTAAGAATGGCTGGAGCAAAAATAATCGAAGTTAGTAAACCAATTTCTCAGAACCTAAAAACTTTTCTTTCTTGGGAGAAAGAATCAGTTATCGGGTACACTGAGGAAAATGGATTAGTGGTTAAAATTATTTGTATTAACTTTGACGATTATTAATAATTTCATTGAAAACGCAGTTATTATTGAAAGTATTTTTGTTTACAAAATCGATAGTACAAATTGCTTTAAAAGATCACATTTGAATAAAATACACATAGATAAAATTATATAGATAAAAATACATTACATACATAAAAATACATCTATATATAAAAAATAAGAATATACTAATAAAATCTAAAATATATTTACAAAACGTTGACAAGTTATATAAATATAAAACAGTTATTATTGTAAACAAATAATGTTAGTTTAAAACATTTTTAGCTTTGCAGATGTGGCTCCATGAATTAAAATAATAGTTCGTTTGATAGTATACTTTTAAAATGATTTATGCTAGAAATTTCAACAAAAACAAAATTCAAATAATACTGTTTTTTAAAATATTCCAACAGAATACTCAGGACATTCAGATAGTTTTTTTTGAATACTCTAGAAACTTCTGTTAGTATTTTTTGAACCAATGGAATTAGTTGTTCGTAGATTTGGCGGGATTTTTGTGTTTGCGAATATTCTTTTTTTATTTTTTTGCACTTAGACATTCAAGTTTATGTATGTGTCCATGTAAGTCCGTAAAACAAAATATTTTAAAATTTACGACAAAATGAACTTATTATTTTGCGTAAAATTTAAAATTTATACTTTAACTGCCGTTAACAAATGTTTATCTAGTCTAGCTTTAAAAGAATTTACTGTCATTGCAGAAACCACTTTTTCAGGTAAAGCATTCCAATGAGGTATCGCTCTGTTCGTAAAAAAATTATGTCTCATTGTTTTTGCAACACCGAGACATAATTTTATGGATGATCTATGATATACGCATACACATACATGCATATACATATAGCCCTCAGAGTAAGGGTCGGCATTTGGCAAATTTTAATGTTTTATTTACCATAAAACAGTAAAGTTTTTAAAAAACGTTAATGTTTTATGGTAAGTCCTGATGCCACCCTCTAAAAGATTAAGATCAGCAAATTATTGCCAACCTCATTTTTCCAAGGGTTGATTTATATATATATATATATATATATATATATATATAGAGAGAGAGAGAGAGAGAGAGAGAGAGAGAGAGAGAGAGAGAGAGAGAGATGTGTGTGTGTGTGTTTGTACATACATATTCATATAAGAAGTTGTATATCTGTTCAGGTGAAGGAGTAACAAAACAATCTTTAATAAAATCAATGCGTGGAGTAAAAAAAGAAACTTTAAACTTAATTAATTGTTGGGTGAACAAGTCAACTGATCCTAAACTTGTAAGTTATTTGTAAACTAAAAAATTATTCTTTAATCTTTTTTTACTTTGTTTTTAATTATAATGATTTCGCGTTATTTCTTTTAGGTTAAAGATAACTTTATACCTCCTTTACTGTCCACTGTGTTGGAAGACTATAACAAAAATGTTCCTCAAGCAAGAGAGGCTGAAGTTTTAAACACACTTGCAACTGTGGTTAACAAGCTCCAGGTTAATATGCATAAAAGGGGTTTAATGTTTTATGTTTAAATTATTTTCATGAAAAACCTTTTTAAAAAATGTTTTCATGGAAAGGCTATAAAAAAATATATATTTTCATGAAAAGGTTCAAAAAATCTCCAAGCTAATTTATTAAAAGCAGAAGTGTTTTAATTGACACTACTTTTTATGGAAATAATAGTTGCACTTCATTTTAAAGGTTTTTATGTAAACATCTAATCTAAAGGTTTTTATGTAAGCATCTAATCTAAAGGTTTTTATGTAAGCATCTAATCTAAAGGTTTTTATGTAAGCATCTAATCTAAAGGTTTTTATGTAAGCATCTTTTTGTAAAGTTTTACTTTCATGAGATACAATTAAATAATTTTCTTGAAATAATATGAAAATATAATGTATAATAAAATAGCTGGTTTTAAAAGTGATTTTATAGAAAGCTTGTTTTTTTTATGTGTAAATCGTTAGTCTAAGATTAGTAATTTTAATTTAAAAAAAAAAAGTTTTAAAAATTATAATTTAATGGATTGTGTATTTAATTATCATGAATTTTATAACAATTTTTTCTAAAACATGAGTCACAGCTATTAGGACTATTAAAATGTTTGTCTAATCGAAAATTGCGTAAAGTGTTCAAAAAAATTACCAATTTTTAACAAATGTTGTCTTCATATTTTTAAAAATGTTAAAAAAAACTTATTTTGATAAAGATTTAATAATAAAAACCAATTTTGTTGTTTTAGTTGAAGCTTGCCCTCTCTAATTTTGTTGTTTTAGTTGAAGCTTGCCCTTTCTAATTTGCTCTCGAAATATTTTGTATACACTGAAATGTTGAGACTTGATTAATTTAATACAAGCATGTTTAATTCATAAGAGTTTCAGCATATGATGTCATGAAAAATCTAAAAATGTTTAGTTTTTTTTTAATTAATTTTTTGTTCCATTTTTGTTGTAAATTTTATTTCTAATCTTCACATTTAATATTTTCAAAATTAAAAAAAAAAAGTCTATATACTAAAACTCTTACAGATTAAATGTGCTTGAAATAAATTATCAAGCCCGTAGATATATTTATATTGGTATATGATAAAAACTCATATACCAATATTAATATATCTATATTAATAATAATAATAGATACAAAAGGATTTGACTAAAACAATAAGTTTTATATAAAATTTATAAATATAAAGTTTTAAATAAAAAGTTTTTATTGATATACATTTACTTTTTGATAAAAAAAATAAATAGCTCAATTGTTTTGTTTTGTAACATTTTCTTTAATATGAACACATGTTGGATATTTGGTAGTTCCTTTAAGAACAAAACTGTGAAATTTTTTTTTTAACAATTTTTCAAGTTAAATTCATATTTTATATATATATATATATATATATATATATATATATATATATATATATATATATATATATATATATATATATATATATATATATATATATATATATATGAATGAAAAAATAAAAGTTTTTTCATTTTTTTAATTCTATAAATAAAATCATGGGGACATTTTACAAAACTTGTTCCATCAGAAGTTTAGTCATGGTTTTAAATTTGGTATTGTCATTAATGAAAGATTAGCACTTGGTATAATGCAGTTTTTTTGTAAAATGTATCCCACTTTTTTTAATTATAAAACTAAAAAAAATACAAAACTAAATTGAAAATATTTATTTTTGTGTTTATAATTCAAGTTTAAAATTTATTTTAACTTTTCTTTTTTTAACAATTTATAATAAATATGCTTACAAATAAATAATTATGCTTGCAATATAGTATCGTTTAAAAGAAATAATACAAAATTTTTATAATTTAAATAAAAATTAAAATTAATTGTAAAATTATTTTCCATGGTAAAACATGATTTTCTAAAAAATACCATATTAAATTGATCGTTCTGTTCACTATTTATTTAAAAAGTTATTATGACGTTCAGGTACACTAAATTTATTTAAAAAGTTATTATGGCTTAAAGTTCATAATAGTTGTATGCTGTATTTTAATTTATTTGTGCATTTTTACACCAGGTAGATTTAGTAAACTTAACTATATAAAATAACAAAAGTATATAAATAAAATTTTTTAGAATCATGTAGTCGAGGAAGTTCCATTAATGTTTGATGCCGTTTTTGAATGTACGCTTAATATGATAAACAAGGTATTACTTATATATAACTTTTTTTGTTGATTTAATTAATTAGAATTAATTAGTATTAATTAGAATTAATTAGTATTAATTAGAATTAATTAGTATTAAGTTCGAGTTAATTACTGAGGTAAATCAGAGTTTTATAAAGTAGAAAAAGAAATTATCTGAATGAAACAAATTGTTCTTTGGACTGATTATTTAGAACAACCATAAAAAGTGTTTACAACAGAGTATACTGTATAACATTTTTTGACTTCACTAATCTGACGACATTAAACAATAGTTTATTTTGGTTATAGGACTTTGAACAATTCCCTGAACATCGAACAAACTTTTTCATTCTTTTACAAGCAGTTAATCAGCGTTGTTTTCCTGGTAATTATTTTTATTGTTATATTTTTTTGACACTTCTCTTTGAAAGCCTTTAATAAGTTTGAAATATGCTTTATCTTAATTTATTGGTTTTATTCTATATTTTTTTTAGCCTTGATTGCACTTGCTCCTCCTCAGTTTAAGCTCGTTTTGGATTCTGTCATTTGGGCATTTAAGCACACTATGCGAAATGTAGCAGATATTGGTTTGTTTTTGTATTTTTAAATATTTGTTTGCTGTCTTTATTGATTCTTTTTTCCTAGAATAGAATTTATCAAATTTATATATATATATATATATATATATATATATATATATATATATATATATATATATATATATATATATATATATATATATATATATATATATATATATATATATATATATATATATATATATTTTAAGGTCTTGAAATTTTACTGGGTATTTTGTTAAACATTCAAAAACACCCACAAGCAGCGCAAGTATTTTACCAGCAATATTACATTATGATATTACAGCATGTATTTTCAGTTGTAACGGATAGCTCTCATACCGCAGGTAAAATTTTCATGAATTACATTTTTAATTTTTAATTTTATATTAATTTTTAATTTATATTATTAATTTTATATTAAGAAAAATATTTTATCTTGAAATTTTTTTATAATTTATTTTATTTAAACTTTTCTCAAAGAAATATAAAAATCATTTTCTTAGTGATCTTAAAGATACTAATACGAAATATAAAAATTATTTTCAACGATTTACATTAAATTACATTACGTGAAATTTTGTTTTAGCTCTTACCAAACATGCATCAATATTATCACATATGTTTACCATTGCAGAAAACAATGGTATAACCGTACCATTGTTTAATCCTGCTCAAGTACAAGGGGGAATGTCTAATGAGGTATTAAAACGAATTGTAATTTTCTTTTTACTTCTTGTGCTAAAGTTTAGTTAAACTCATTAATTTTTTAATTTCAGCTTTATATAAAAGAATATGCTGCAGCTTTGTTTAAGCAAGCTTTTCCTCATTTACAACAGTAAGTTTGTTTTTTTTTGTCTTGAATTTAACAAAATATGGTCTAACAAATAATATATTGTCTTAAAAAACTTGTTTTTTTTTTTTTGCAGAATTCAGTTATAAAAATTTTGTTATAAAATTACAGTTTTTGTCAAGTACTTTCACAAACATTTTAAAATTTTATACATAATGGTGGCAATATATTGTTCAGCGAAATAATTTATAGGTTAACATTTTTTAGTAATTTATGACGCTTTACTTTGTACTTTGACTGTGTAGTGACTTTATTTTAATCTGAAAATGAAATAATAGAACTTTTGTTTTTATTTCAGTTAAGATTGAAATGATTTCCATAACTGTTAGATATGCCTTATTTTTCTTATTCTGAAGGCTGAGTAAACAAAGGGCAAAAAAAACCTAATAGTTTTCAATCAACTGTCATTTTATAAAAATAATCGAATCTGTATCTTGGTGAGCTTAATTAAACAAAAAGTCATAATCAATTATTACTGAAAAATAGCTACAATCCTAAAGTTAAAGAATTCTTGAAAAATAAATTTCAAACATTTAACAAACTGCAACCTTAATACTTAATAGTTCACTACCCTTGAACAAAAAAGTTGATTGATGAATTCTATAAGTTCCTTTGCTTACTAAAACAGATGCACAAGAAACAACAAATTATCTATTATACATCAACTTAAAAAAATATTTTATCTAGCTTATTTTCATTTTTGTCAAATGACTAGTTATGACGCTATTCTGCCCCGTTGCAGCGTTATTTTACAATTCTTCAAGTAAATTAATCTTCTTTAATACTAATGTTAATTTGATTAAAAAATTTTTTTTTAATTTTCACGTTATTTCATGCAATACATTTTTTAATACAACTCAAAAAATTACTTCATGGGATTTTTATTATTATTATTTTTTTTTTTTTCCAATTTTTTTTTAAATTTGATTTTTCTTAATTAGATTTCTTTATTTTTTTTTTTTTTTTTATAGTCCACAAATAAAGTTATTTGTCCAAGGGTTGTTTGACCTTGATCAAAACATTGCTCAATTTAAAGAACATTTGCGCGATTTCTTAGTGCAAATTAAGGTAAACTTTACTTTTTTAGTTTTTGGTTTAATAATTTCGAAGTTTTTCGGTTTGATGTTTTTAAATGTGCCTTTGATTGTGTAGTTGTAAATTCTATTGTTGGTTGTTTCAGGAGTTCCAGGGTGAGGATTGCAGCGATCTGTACTTAGACGAACGTGAACAACAACTTCGTATTGCTCAAGAGGAGAAGCGAAAGAGGCAAAAAGATGTACCTGGTATTCTAAATCCGCACGAAATCGGTGAAGAAATGCAGGATGATCTAACTATTTAATGACTATGTACATATTCGAAAGATATCTGTCTGTGGATGAGTATATAATATAATGATGATTATTTTTTGCAATGTTTTCTAGAGAAAACTTAAAATATTCGTGTCGTGTAGCGTAGCGAGAGAGTGAAAAAAGATTTATTTAACGTTATTTTTTATAAAACAAAAAAAGTTATTTGATACAGTGTGATCTAAGTGTGCGTTTGTAAACGAGGCTTTTTATTAGTAGCGAGACTTTTTATTGAATGATGTTAAACGTCCGTGATGATTTTTGTTAATTTTGTTTTCTTCACGCTTCAAGCAAACAAAATCGATATATCATTTTCCTTTTGTTTTGCTTTTAAATAGCTTTTGTTAATAATTTAATTTTTAACTGAAGTAGCGTTGTGCGAAAAAAATGAAATGTCTTTTTATTTTAAACGAGTTGAAATGTTATCTTAGATGACGAATGTAGTTTATCAAAGTTTGTAAATACGTGTGATAAGCGAGTCAGTGAAAAATAAAGATTTTTACATTGAAAACATATTTTTCTTTGTTTTTAATTTCTTAGAAAACCTTTGCTTATGGCTGTTTTCAGGTAATAAAAAATTTTATAATAAATAAGTAGCCTTGCTCAGAACCGAGGTTCGATGCCGCCTTTGACCAGATAGGCGACATTGGTAAGGATGGAGGCTTCCTAGTTAAGTGCTCATCTGCCAAGTTCTAAGAAAAAATAATAAAAGATCCTTTGCAAAAAAAGTGGGGGTTAGTGCCTCCTGGTCCCCCCGGTGTCGTCGACTCAACTAATTAAATATTAACTGTTTCGTGTCTTTAAATTTTAACCCATTTATTTTAAAGATTTGTGTGATGTCAATTAAATTTGTTAAAACAAAACTTTACCTGAAAAATATTTCAAATGTTAATTTAACATTACGTTGCTAAAACAAAGATTACTCTGTTGTGAAAACCTTTTGAATTACTTTTTATCAAACTATTATCTTCAAAAATCTAGGTTTTTGCATAATATTAGTTATTGAAAAACGTTATAAAAACCTAGTTTGCCAACTATATGATGTATCAAAAGTTAAGCAGACATATAACTTATAACTCATTATAAAATAGAGTTAAACTTGAAGTTATTAGAAATAAATTAAACTATAGAAGGGGGGTGTTGATAATTTTTGGTTTGCAAAAGTATGACTCAAAAAAATGTTTTGAGTTGTTGAAAATGCAGACCATACTGAGTTAGAGAGCGTTGCTATATTGACTGATTTAGGGACGGAATGCTGTTTCATTGATTGGGGGTTTGGTTTGAAACAGTTATAAATCAGTATAATATCTGGTCTGTACTTTTTTATAAGTATCATTTTTGAACCATACTATATTCTGCCTTTATTAAATTTCAAGAACTAAATGATGATCTCTTACGAAATTCTTGGTTTTATCAACCAATGTTAAATTCGTCTTAAAACTTACCCGCAGAAATTTTATTATAAAACAAACATAAACTTAACCTATTCATCCGCAGTAAAAACTGAGTGTCACGAGTTCAGAATAAACTCGTTTGATTGCATAAATATTTGATTACATTAATCGCTATATAAAGTAAAAGGTTTAAATAAACAATAGTGTTTATAAGCATTTACAAACCTGTCAATAAAAATACTATTCTTGGTAAAAAATAATTGTTGTTGCTTATTTAACCATAGCTAAGTATTAGGTTTTAAGAAAACAACACTACGTGTTGTTTTTTGTCTTTTACAAGTCACTTTCACAATTTTGTTTTCACTGTAACCAATATATAAAAAGTAAAAATTCCATATAAAAACCTTAAGCCTGGCATATTTACGCGAGACCTCAAACCAAAACTTCATTAAAAGTTTTCACTGCACTCTTATACTTAAAAAAGCCATTACATGGCCACTCGTATAGTTATATAGTTCTGCTTTAAACGCTTATAAAAGAAAATATCGTCAGGCGACAGGAAAAACCTAAAAGACGAACAATAAAATTTGCATAGTTTACATTTTAATAATTTTCTTTTATGTCAAAACTTCATTTTCACAAAATGTTTCGAATTATATTTGGTTATGTTTCTTTATATCCTATATTATGTAGCTATAAACCTATTTTAAGGAAGTATTTTTTTTTTAATTTAAAAGTTATTCATTAAAAAGTACTTAGTGAGTTTTTCCTGTCACCCGACGACGACGACGACATGTTTTAAAATTTTTTAAAAGATTATTCATTTTTAATTTTCTAAATCTTCCGACATTATTATTTGATATAAAAAAAAGTACGTAATTCTGCATAAAAAGTTATAGAAAGTTATAAAAAACTTTCAATGTTTCGACCTAAATTCAAAATTTTTATTATAAGTCAACAATGGAATTACTGAGAAACAAATAATCTTTCAAAAGTTTGCTGATTTATTGCTTAACATTTACTATTATTATATAAATGTTTAATTGTTATATACTTAATCTCTGTTTGACGTTTATATTGCATCCATTACAAGCTAATTTTTAAATAATTGACTTTAAAAAGCTTTCAAGTTATTTTTATCATTTTGATATTTTTAAAAAATTATTTCTTCAATTATTTTTTTTTATTCCGTCATGGGATTTTGTATTACTATTTTGTAATGAAGTAATTTTAAATATTAATAAAATTTAGTAAAAAAAATTTCTCAAAACAATTTAGTTCACGTTTGTAGTGCTTTTATTTTGGAATTATGAATCTTATGAAAGCAAAATGATGAAACAGCGTATGTTGAATAGCAGATGCTAAATAGCGGGTCTTATTGTTTTTTGGTTTTATAAGAAGGTGCGGAAAAGTAATTGATTATATTTGCATTACAAAAATACACTTAGAATACTCGGCCACATACCTGACGATTTAAATTCGCATAAAAACCGACAAATTGAATAGCAAGCCTTAAAAAGAATTTGATTGGATGTAGTGTAACGAAAATAAAAGCGGTATTTAATACTTTCTATTTACACTGACTTTTTAATCTTTCTGGTTTTACTTGGATCTGCAGCTAACACGTAAATAACATTAATTCTTAATATAACGATATTACAATTAAAGCAAGGTTGCCTAAAACACTAAGTTAACAGTTTAACTTACTAAACTAAAAGGTTTGATTAAGGGTTTATGTACGAAATAAGTAACGTTTAACATTTGTTTCATTTATAAAGTAAACATTTAAACATTTCATAAATAAAACTACTTTTAAATTATTTATTTTTATGTTTCAGCAAATTTTGACAAAACGCAATTTTTATTGGCCACGTGCAACTTCATTTATAAATATTTATTAAAACATTTCAGAAGATTGAAAATCCAGCTGCATAAAATGAATTAATAAAACCTTTTGCAAGAATACGTTTAAATATCAAACATATGATTAAAGATGTTTTTTTAATATAAAATGTATTATAAATAAATTTTAAATTAAAACTTTGTTGATTTTAAACCAAAAAAAAATGTTTTTAGCCAATAGTGTTCGTTACGTCACAAAAACAATTAACTTGAAGAAGTATAAATATTATTACTATTAGTTTCTTGTTTCTTATACGTTATTTAGTTTCCTGTGGTCAAGCAATCTTATTTCCTTACCACTTAGCTATAAAACTGTGTTATCAAAAATAATTCATAGGATATTGGTCTTATATCCGGTAACGGATGCAACTGTGAAAAAAACGCGACAGCCTGGTGCGAAATATAAAAAGTTTCGATGCAAGCTTGTGACAATTCACGTGAAGATTTGTTTGACTTTAGCTTTGTGTGTTTGCATAAATTGCCTCATTAATTTATTTTTATTGTAAGATTTTGTGTCTGTATATATGTATATATATATATATATATATATATATATATATATATATATATATATATATATATATATATATATATATATGTGTGTGTGTGTGTGTGTGTGTGTGTGTGTGTGTGTGTGTGTGTGTGTGTGTGTGTGTGTGTATATATATTTATATATACATATATATATATATATATATATATATATATATATATATATATATATATATATATATATATATATATATATACATATATATATATATATATATATATATATATATATATATATATATATATATACATATATATATATATATATATATATATATATACATATATATATATATATATATATATATATATATATATATATATATATATATATATATATATATATATATATATATATATATTATTTTTAAAACTAACACGATATTTTTAATCTTGACATGTTTCGTAATTTCGCATTACATTTTCAAAAGATTCGTTTTATAATTTTACATTTTTTATTGTAAAACGATTCTTTTGAAAATTTAATGCGAAACATGTCAAGATTTAAAATATTCGGGTTATTTAAAAAAATACTTTACAATATGTGTGTGTTTGTGTGCTTAAAAGTAAAAATGTATAATGAGGCAAGTAGAGCAATTCCATTCTAAATAATGTTTTTTAGGTCGTTACACATCGGTTATATTATCATCAGTTATATTATAAGCTATATTATGATTTTTTACCCTCCTACTAACGAGATTACTCTTGGTTTTTACTAAATTATGTTAAAGGTACATTTAAGCACTTTGAATAAATAAACCGCAAAATATAAAAGAAAACGTTCATTCAATGTAAACAATTAAAATTCTATAAAGTGAAAAATTGAGAGGAACAAAGAAAGAAAGAAAACGCGCTCTGTTCAAACAAAAGATATTTTGTTTAAATTTTTCTTTGCTTACGTAGTGGAGATTTCGCCGACTAACAAAGCTATTGAAGTTCGCTGTTATCTTATTGAAAAATTTATAATGTTTTTTAAGCCTGTCTGGTTTTTTTATTTCCTTTGCGTTCTTTCTCATAACAATTTCAAAATGTTTGTAATTCCTGCTTTTATAAAAAATGTACTGGGATCTAGCTGTTAGATAAAGTCAACCAATCAACTTCATTTAAGCTTCTGAGACCCTTAGTCATAAAAAGATAACATCTTGTTGAGTAACACTGTTTGTACCATTTGCGTTTCTGTTGATTATAGCAATCAAAGTACTTTTATTTTTATTTTTTATTTGCTAAATTATTAAAAACTAAACATGAAATGAGGGCTAAAGATGAAAGATAATAATGAAAGCTAAAATGGAATTAACAGGAAAAGAATCAACTGACGATCTCAAACTTCTCTTTTCACGAATAATATACACATCTTTAGTTGGGAATTCGTCGGTTTTAAAAATAAACGACATTCTGAAATTGGAGAATGTTGATAAAATTGTAAACATATTAAAAAAACGTTCGCAATGGAACGGAATACAAGCATTTATTCACAGTTACCCATCGTTTTTTCAACTTGTGGAAGAAAATAATTCGGTTGTAATAAAGCCCATTGCTACGGTTGAGTTTTGTCGCGATTTTGATGGCAAAAAAGGCTGTATAAAAACATTTTGTCCTAAACTACATGTTTGCCGTCATTTTGTAAAAGGAAAATGTACTTTCGGTCCTAGATGTAAAAAACCACATCATTTTGAGGGAAGTAACACTCGCGATGTATTGCGAAACCATTTTCTTGAAGGTTTATCGGATGAACAATTACGAGAATTTTTATGCAGGAATGTTCAACATCTTTTAGAACAAGATTCGATAAATCCTGATGTGCCAAAGAGTTTAGAAATTTGTAAATACTACAATGTAGCTACTGGATGCACGCGAGACATCTGCCCTTATATTCACGTTTGTAGATTTTATGCTGAGGAAGGAAACTGTAAGTTTGGAAACCAATGCATAAGAAAGCATAGTATTGATAATATGCACACAAAATTTCTTTTGCGTCGATATCAAATGGATAACTTAACAGAAATGCAAGTAATGACATATCTTAAAATTAAGGCTGAGCGAAGAGAGGATCAATCGAATACAGATAAATGCGATAAATTGTCTCCTCTCAGTCCAAATCATACTCCTTTAAATATGGGACATTTTCCTGCGCTTTTTTCATTACCTAATGCCACAATTTTACAAGCTTTGGCAAACAACAAAGTTCCCAGGAAGTTATCTAACTCCAACCATTCACCAATACTTAGTTTGCCCATTTTTGACGATTCAAGTCGAGGTCGAAAATATTCTCTGCCAACGCCACCAATCATTGTAAATAAGAAAGGAGTTATGAGAAATGGGCTTGTTGATGAAAAACTTTTTATTCAAACAATGCCATCCTTCCCAGAGTGTAGTAAGATAGAGGGTATGCCAACAGACATACAAGCTCATTATTTTAGCTCAATGTCACAAGGTCTAGATCTTAATAATAAAAATATAAAAAATAGCTTGTTAGATGATGAATTGAACTTGAAAAGTCTAAACCATTTTGAAAACTCTCCAACAAAGAGTACAGCTTTAAAACCAAATCCCTCATCATCTTCTGATTCATTGCACGAATCTTTTATGCAAACCATTCTTGCTAACTCTTTTGAACAAAACATTAGACTATATGATAATACCGAACTTTCATGTGACAGATTGGGTTTGCATAATCTTTCACCACCAACAACAAACTTTAATTATGAAAAAAGAAAATTTCAACATGGAACAAGTGAAAATAGCGAAGAATTTGAACAGTTTCCTGCGGAAAACGATATTTTACCAAATGGACATTCAACAAGTTTTAGTCAGATAAATTATAGTTTAAAATCTAACAATGCTTTAAACTCAGAAGACACTTCTTTATTTTCCAGTTATTATACTAACTCTAAAGCTTCAACAAGCGATTTTTACTCTTCATTAGGGTCAGGTGCAAGTTTTTCTTTTCAACAATCAAAAGAAGACTCTCCAACGAACAACGAACAAGCTTATAGAGATCGAAAGTTTGTTTCAGATATTTTAGATAGTACAAATCTAATTACAAGTCATAATACACAACATCAATCAATTGTTTCTGAGCAAACAAACGGTAACGTTGCAAATTCAAATGCCAAAGTAAACTGCATTTGTCAACAAACTGTAATTTGCACTTATTATATAAAGGGTAGGTGTTTAGGTAATCCGTGTCCAAAACTACATTCAGAAGAAATATTTCAATGGCAAGTTTACACGACTCCATTGAAAAGTATTAATAATCTTAAAAATGAAAAAGAAAAAGGGAAATGGATAAATATAGGGACACATGAAAATTTAAAACTCGAATCTGATTACTGCTCCGCAGAAATAGAGCATTCAAAAATAGACCTTTTTGGAACCACCGTCACTGTAAAATTTGAAGAAATGGTAGCTGTTGGGATAAGCGAGATTAACGCAAACTTTGGATCTTATGACTTATCGTCATGGTTATTGCAAGCAATAGGTATGAACATAATTTCTTATTGTAGTACGGTTTTCTAAGATTATATGATTATTACATTTTGGCGCAATAATTAACTGAATAGCGAGTTTGGATGCATTTGTAATTAAGATATTTAATTTTACATTATTGTGCAAGAGTTTAAAATTTTAAAGAGTGACCAAACCTTTATGAAAAACCCGTTTTTTAAAAAAGTTTTTTTAGGCTTGTGAAACCAAAAAAATCCGACTGGATTTTTTTGGTTTCACATTTTTGACACCATCCAAATTCTAGTTTTTTATTTAATTTTTTTTTATATTTTGAAACTTCGATTAATTATGTCATCAAAACTGAAGATGGAAAAGGGAAATGGGAGTTCATAGAATAATTATTAAAAATAATTTATTAGTCATTGTTTTACATCAATAATTCCCCAAAAATTGTATCAATAGCAGTTCGTACAGGCGGGAATCACTAAGGGAACGTGATAAATTTATCTCACGTAATATTATTAGGAAAGTCATAGTAAGTTTTTTTTTTTTTTTACAATTTTTAAGATGTGGGAGGACTGAGTGCGAAAAATTGTTTGACGTTATTAAAATTAACGGAAGTACCCATATCAGTAGTTTTACTTCATGATTGATATGTTGTTGTAATTATGTATATAATATTGTATATTACCATCATCATTAAGGTAATTACAATACTATTATTATATTGTTTACAAATGTAATTATTTATTTATGTTGATTTTTTCTATTCGGTGGCGCAGTTTTTTTTTATCAAGCGACATATTACAAACACATGTTTTTGTTGTTATTGTTTATTCAAATAATAACCGACACTGTGATCATAAGTGAGACACGCTAATGTTATAACAACAATCTTTACAATAAATACAAAGGTTAACGTAAATGCACTGAAATTTTTATTTTTTTATTTTATTATTTTATTGTTTGCGCCATTTAAATGTTGTGTTTATATAAAAATCGTTTGTAGCTATCAGCGATTTAAAACTCCTTTTGTTTTTCAAAAAAAAAAAAAAAAAGAAAGATAAAGGAATTATGTGATGAACTTCTTCGTTTGATTCGTCATAATTTTTTTTTCTTTTTTTTTTGTTAATTCACCTCCTCTAGGCCGAGAAGAGCACTAAAGATTATAGTTCACTATAACCCACTTCCCTGTTGCTTTTTTTTTGTAACTTATAAAATTTTTGATTTTCAATGTTTAGCCATAGATTAAAAATAAACATTTACCTAACCTTGAAATAAAATTTAACATTAAAAAACAAATCAAATCAAATCAAGCTTTTTGAAAATCCAGCAAAGCTATATTCAGAGGTGATTCTACAAATAAAATGAGGGAGAGGGGGGGGGGGGTAAAACTCCTTAAAAAGTACCGACTGGCTTCGTAAAAAAAAAAATTCGTCAAAGTTAAATTTTACCTGACTGAATTGTGTCAAACACGACTAAATTCGTAAAAAAGAAACCCACTATAACTTATAAACATCACCTTCTTTGGGGACGCGAGGGGGGGGGGGACACATACACCCGTAAAATCGCCTCTGGCTATATTTCCTGTGATTAACAGTCTTACAAGAATCTGTTTACACAGTATATAGTCTTTTACTAATTTTTAATAAAATGTATAAGAAACTTAAACACTTGTTTTTTGCCAGGGCTATGAGGTTTTATGACGGAGCTATGATCTGGACTTGGTGTCTTGATTTGTAAACACACTCTAAGTTTTTTTTATTAGTATTCATGTTAATTTATTTGCCTAATCCAGTAATGGAACTTTATTAAAAGTCATTATAAAAAATAACTAAAAAAACTCTCAATCCAAAAACTTTAAACATGTCTCTATATAAACATACTATAATCAGTAGGTATGACTAATACATATCTAATACATATAGGTAGTTATAATGTATATATAAGTAAAATATAATGTAGTAATACATATCTACTCTATAACAAAAACGTATCTACGCAACAACCATTTATTACATGTCTGCTTCAGATCGCTATGACGTACAATGTAAAAAGAATGTTGCAAAAATGACCTCTGTTAGCAATTTATGCATGATACATAGCCTAAGTATAAAACATAAATTGCTGGCAAAGGTTGTTTTTATCACAGTCTTTTTTTTTTGACATTTCAGGTCTTTGTGAACAATACCACTCAATTTTGAACTTTCATTTTTTGTTTTTATAACTGTTTAATCCATAACTCATAAATAAAACATAACTGTTTAATTCAGTACTCTCCTACGTTTCTTCCCAAATCAGTAATATATCTGGTCTTCGTTTTTTGAAAAATCAAAACCTCATTTTGAGTCATAGTATCTTTTGCTCACCGTAATTTCTCTGTCAAAAAAACAAAACATAACTGCAGTTATGAATTAAACAGTTACAAAAACAAAACAAAAAAATGAAATAAGATTTAGTGGTATTGTTCACAAAGACCTGAAATGTCAAAAAAAAAAAAGTGATAAAAATAACCTTTGCCAGCAATTTATGTTTTATACATTACTTTTTTCCTTGTTAAAAGTCATTGGCCATGTTTTAGCCTATTCTGATATTTTAAAAGTATATCATTGTAAATCTATGTAGTAAATTGAACACAAATTAAGCTACTGTTATGTAAAACCATAATCAGAAAGAATATTTTCCCCTAAATCAGGTAACACTTTTCAAATATTTGTTAACTATTAAAAAGGTGTTTCTGTTAATCTAATTGTATTTTACAAACAAACTTTGCAAAGATTCTTTAACAATACTTGTATAATATATAACATAATATAATAAAACATAGGAATTGAATATTCTTAACACCTAAAAATTACCAAATTTATAAAAAAAATAAAACTTTTTAGTATAATGCAACATGTCATGTATTATTTACTTGAGCATTATACGCAATATAACATACACTAAAATAAAATTTATAATTTAGATGATTATTCTATTCAAGACAATGTGGTGTATAAAATGCGTCGCCTTTCCACGCCATCTTCAATGGTTGAATATTCAGATTTATCTTTTTCAACAGTTTGGCTCTGGTACTGGGAAGATAATTTTGGAATGTGGAGAAGTTATCCATCAAGTAATGCTGATTTAATCGAGACCAATAAAACATGTTTAATTAAGGAAATTGAATCCAAATTTATGGAAGGTATATTTTTACAACCAATTTCTTTAATTTAATTTGCAATGGTTATTGAAAAACTTGATCCTCATTTTAACTCATAACTTTAAAATGGCTCGGAAAAAAACTATTTTTGGGAAGTCTCTAGGCTAAAACATATAATCAAAATTATTAACTGAAAGAATCCAATTTTGAACTTGTTTAGTTTATTTAGTTTAGTTTATTGAATAATTAAAATTAACAAAAAATGTTATAAAATTTGACAGAGCTCGGCGCTAGGCCTTGCTATGCTAACATATCTGATCCATATAGTTCTATTATTTATGAGTGTTCTGTTGCTGCAATCTAGATTTGAAAATATTAACAGATTTTGAGTTGATGGTGTTGCTGGAAAGTGCATTCCATGATGCACAAACACGATTTATAAAAAAGTTGAGTCTTTCTATACAGTTTTTGACACTCATGGTTCCGCCTTAGGTTGTATGATGCTGATTTGGAAAAGGGATAACGTTGTAGAACTTAGAAATCTACTTGTTCGAGGTTTTGATTGATTTTGAATTATGCGGTAGTGGTGTAGTGGTAGAGCGCTCGCTTCATAAACAAGTGGTTCCGAGTTCGATCCCCACCACGTCCCTGGTAGTACCGCGCTCAACTCGTTTCTCCGCGCAGCGGCCTTGTTCGTCAAAGTTCGTGTTTCGGAGTTATAGAGTTGAGAGAGGGTTATAGCCACAAAATAAGTAGCCTCCTCGTCTGTAGTGGCCTTCTCAGCCTTGAGGAGGTGAAGTAAAATAAAATAAAAAAAAAATTGTTCTATAAGATCCCCTCTTTGCCTCCTCGCTTCTAGTGTTGTCAGTCCAAGTGCTTCTAATCTTTGTTCATAGTTATAGTGTCTCAAGGAGTTTATTAATTTTGTTACACGATGTTGAGTTTGCTCTAATTTGTTGATATCGCTAATAAGGTGTGGTGGCCAGGCTTGGATTGCAAACTCTAGATAAGGTCGAATATATGAAGTGTATAATATTTTTTCAGAGAAATACACCACGTCCTCTGAATGCTTTTTTTAGCACACCTAATTTTCAATTTGCTTTTGCTGCTGCTGCTGCATCTACTTGTGATTTTAATTTCAAATCATCAAAAATATCAAGGTCACACTCAACTGTAGTACATTTTAATTGATGACAAAATCCGTCTTGGCCTAATAAAGTGCTACTGTCAGATGTCAGTTTAACAAATTTAAAATAGCAAATACCAGAGACTACCAACAGTATTGTTAAGATTGAACTCATTATTTCTTGCTTATGAAGCGAGCACTGTGCCACATGTTGTATTGTTAAAATGTAGTGGTAGTACAGAAATTTATTTTTTTAAACTTTTTTATGGTAAAGAAGGAGGAATTATATATTTAAATATGCTTCATTAAAATTATTAAATATTATATAAAATTAAAATAAAAATGTTAAAATGTTTGATATAAAGCAAAATTATTTTCCAGTTTATAAATAGCTGAAAAAATTCAACAGAATTTTGGAATGTTAATTGATGAAATATTTTTTTCCATTCAGAAACTCTAAGAAATTAGTTTTAGAGTAAAGTTGCTGATTTTTAAATAAACAGACATTAGATTTTAGTTTCAGCTATGTTCACCTATAAGTTGGATTTTGCTTGACAGCGCTGTAAATAAAAAAGCAAAATTCTTGACTCCAAAAAATATTATTTGTAAAATATTGCTGTTTAAATAAAAACTGCTTTTTTTTTATATTTTTATGTACTGAAACATTCTTGAGACATGCTTAATTTTAAGTTTGAGTGTACTGTCCTTTATAAATTGATTCAAAAAAAGTTTAGTTAACCAATTAAAAACTAATATTATTATTAATATAAAAAAGTGTTATTGTTCAACAATAAAAATATAAACAACAATCCAAATCTTTACAATTCTTTTCCTAACTCTATTGCCAATAGAATAATAAAGCAAAGTTTGATAATTTTCAAATTTTATATTTATCTATAATTTAATAATGATTATCTATGTTTATTATGTTATATAATAAATGTATTTGTTATTACTTATAAATTTTTTTTATGTTAGGTATTTTTTTATTTTTTATTTTTAAATTATATTTTCTTATACTTAAGTAAAATAACCCTGAGTTAATTTTTATTAATTAAGCTAATGTTTTGATCATTATAGGACATGTGCAGTATACCTTTGTGGAAAAGAAAACTAAATTTGATTTCAATGCTATGTATCAAATTAACTACCAATCAGGAAAACATATAAAAATAAGGCGTCGACCAAAGTTTGCACCACAAGATTACAATCATGAAACAAGGTTCATGGTGATTTTTGCATTATTTTTTTTGTTGACAAAATCAGTTAATGCATGTATAATTTTTTAAATGCGGTTTAATCTTACAATTGTCAATTTATAAAAAAGTCCTACATATCTAGAAATTTAAGATGTTAGAGGGTCTTGAGCGACCCCTAAAAATATTTGTTGTTCAAAAATTTTGTTAATCCAGTATTAATTTATTATACAAAACACATTTAGGGGTTTAGAGCAGACATTTTTAAGAAGTATAATTTTACGAGCCTAGTATATGTATATATATATTGAATTGATATTTTCTTATACTTTTGCACTCCTTTTTATCATCTTATATTTATTACTCTTATTCTATTCTATTCTAAATAAATTAAAGATAATAAAAAAGAAACATTTTTTATATTTGCCACTTTGTAATTGTGTTTTTTTTAATCATTAAATTATATATATATATATATATATATATATATATATATATATATATATATATATATATATATATATATATATATATATATATATATATACATTTATACATATATATATAGATACATATTTTACAAATAATTTTTATTATTGATTTAGAACTGATTTCATAATTGGACCTGAAAATGTTATTAAAAAACCGCAACAACCTTGGAACGGTCATGATCTGGTACCTTTACAAGAAATGTCTGATATTTACAATACAGTAGCTAATCGATTTAAAAGTTATTGCAATGAATATGAAATATTGAGCATTATACAACTTCAGAACAAAGAACTTTGGGGTACTTTTGTTAGGTATAATCATTATTGTTTTATAGTTTTCTATAAACTGTGGATATATATATATATATATATATATATATATATATATATATATATATATATATATATTATGTATATATATATATATATATATATATATGTATATATATATATATATATATATATATATATATATATATATATATATATATATATATATATATATATATATATATATATATATATATATATATATATATATAGAGAGAGAGAGAGAGAGAGAGAGAGAAAGAAAGAGAGAGAGAGAGAGAGAGAGAGTGATGTAAGTCGTTTTTTTTTGTTCTTGTTTTTTTGCCAAAAAAACTGAGGACTTCGTTTTTTGTTTTTTTTGGTTTTTTTGCGTTTTTGCCTTAAAAACTACTCTTTTTGCATTTTAAACACTGAAATGGTTTTAAAATTTATTTTTGGTGATATTTATTAAATACTTGTTTAATACTTTCATTTACCATATTTTTAGTATTGTCTTAGTTTAGCAATTGTTCAATTATTCAAAAAAAAAAAAAAAAAAAAAAAATTTGAAAAAGCAGCATTAATTAGAAAAACAATTTTTTTTTTTTTTTAATAATTTTTAATAATAATTCTTATAAGTAAAGACAAAGAAGTAAATTTTCATAAGTAAAGGCCATGAATTGCATCTTTTTTAATATTGAACTGTTTTAAGAATTTATTATATGAATGAAGTAACACTGCATCGCAAAATAAGTCAGATCTGGGAATTTTTGGTGTGGGTGTGAGGGGGAATCAGGGCTTGTTAAAAATTTAGTTTATTTTGTATCACATTTTTGCCTACTAAAAAAAATTTAAAAAATTTAAAGATATTTTATAAATTTATGGATTCTGGTGCGGGATGGTAGGTTCATACCTCTCATTTCCCCTGGATCTGTCACTGGTTTTAAAATTACAAAATTATATTTCAACTTTTTTAACTTCTTCAACTTATGTTCGTTAAATTTTTCATTAATCCATAATTTTTTTTTGAATAATAATAAATGTATTATTTAATGGAATGAATCAGAATAATCTAAATAAATATTTTTATTATATGAAAGAAATATATTTATTATATGAAACACTGCTTTGCAAAATAAAAAAAGGTAATCATTTTCATGTTTAATATAAGGAAAATGAATAATTTTTTTGAGGTAAAAATCTTGAAATTTAAAAAAAAAAAAAATAACTGTTTAGCCATTTTCCTAATCAAAAAGATAAATATTTTTATACCACTTTGGCTAAACACTCTGTTTACACAAAATAAGTAAACAAATATACCATAAGAGTTTAAAAAAAATCCAAAAAAACTTACACCCAAACCAAAAAAACGCCAAAAAAACCAAAAAAACACGTTTTTTTGGGTGAAAAAAACGCGACAGCAACAAAATGCGTTTTTTTTGCAACACTATATATATATATATATATATATATATATATATATATATATATATATATATATATATATATATATATATATATATATATATATATATGTATATATATATATATATATATACATATATATATATATATATATATATACACATATATACAAATTTTTGTTTTTTTGCAACACTATACATATATATATATACTATACACACACACACATATATATATATATATATATATATACAAAAAAAAATTACTGTGATACGGGAATGGTAACAAGAGACCCTAAAATCTTAGTCCCTCCCCTCCCCTAAACGTGAGGGCAGTGAGTTGAATTATTTATTTTTTTATAAATATGAACTAGTTATGTATTCATCAATAAATTATTCAGTGTTCAGTTTTTATGACCATGTAAAGTTTGTGACCCCCTTAAATTGAGGGGGTTATTCTTTACTTGGTCATAAAAACTAAACACTGAATAATTTAAACATAAAATTTGAAATCTGTAGATGAATACATAACTAGTTTATATTTATGGAAAAAAAAATTCATCTCATTGCCCTCACTTTTACAGTAGGGGAGGCTAAGATTTTAGGGTTTGTTATTCTCATTCTCCTATCACAGCAATTTGTGTGAAGATTCTTTTCTTCATGCATATGTACAAGATTATTTTCGTCATACATACATATATATATATATATATATATATATATATATATATATATATATATATATATATATATATATATATATATATATATATCAGTTAATCAATATATTAACTGATATATATATATATATATATATATATATATATATATATATATCAGTTAATCAATAAATTTTGTGCGGTTTTTCCTAATTTCTATTTACTAACAAAAGTATTATAAGATAATGGTTGTGGTAGGGAGATAATTTTGTTTCATAAGTTTTATTAGTGCGATTTAAATTTGAAATTCTTAAGTTGAGTATGTCTGTGTCAAATGCAATAATTTGCATCTGTTTAATTTATGAGTTTAAACTTGGTGCCAAAGTTGCAGAAGCTTGTCGTAAGATATGCGCTGCTTTTGGGGAAGGTACCATAGCAGAACGGACAGGTCAAAAGTGGTTCAAAAAGTTTTCTTCTGGAAATGAAAACCTTAAAGATGAACCAAGATCTGGAAGACCATCCACCGTCAACAATGAGGATATCAAGCTGCCAATCGAGCAGAACTCCAGCCAAACATGTCAGGACCTTGCCTTAAGATTTAATGTGAGTGATGAAACCATTTGTTCGAATTTGCACCAACTTGGAAAACGTTGGAAGTTGAGCAAATGGGTACCTTATGAGTTGAGTGAAACAAACAAGCTACAGCGTTTAACCATCTGTTCTTCATTGCTTTCCCGCCACAATTTAGTGTCTTTTTTTGACCGGATGATGACGAGGGACCAATAAATGGATTATATGCTGCAACAAAAAACGAACATATCATTGGTTAGCCAGTAGTGATCCAGTACCGATGACTCCTAAACCACGTGTTCACCAAAAAAAGGTTTTACTGTGTGTATGGTGGACTACAACAGGTATCATTCACTAAGAGTTGCTACCAAGTGGACAAACCATTAGTGCTGAGATATACTCAGCCCAATTGGACAGAGTTTCGGTTGCTTTTCACCAAAAACAAGCAGCTTTGGCGAACAGAAAAGGTGTTGTATTCAACGAGGACAATGCCAGACCACACACCGCAAAAATCACGTGGGGAAACTCTAGCACGTTTACAATAGGAGATTCTACCTCACCCTCCGTATTCACCAGACCTTGCCCCAAGAGACTATCATTTGTTTTTGGCCTGGATAATCATATGAGGAATCGACAGTTTCAAAATAGTGAAGATCTTGAAAATGAGTTAAATCTATTTTTTAGCTCCCAAACTCAAGACTTTTATAAAAATGGAATATACAAGCTTGTTTTACGATGGGAGAAAGTCATTCTTGCTGAAAGAGACTATTTTTCAGAATAGACTTTATTAAAACCGTTTTTTTGTGTATTTATTTATGGACCTGCAAAACTGCACGAACTTTATTGGTTACCTGATATATATATATATATATATATACATATATATATATATATATATATATATATATATATATATATATATATATATATATATATATATATATATATATATATATATATATATATATATATATATATATGTATGTATATATATATATATGTGTGTGTATACAGGCTTGGTCGGGAAGCGAGTGCCATCGCACTCGATAACTGACCACGGAAATAACATGTAGTTGTGAAAAACTGGCCAGATTTTTTAGTCGTTTTGAGAACATTTAAGTTTATGTATGTTTCCTTGTTTTTACGCAAAATAATTAGTTCATTTTGTCGTAAATTTTAAAATATTTTGTTTTACGGACTTACATGGACACATACATAAACTTGAATGTCTAAGTGCGGAAAAATAAAAAAAAGAATATTCGCAAACACAAAAATCCCGCCAAATCTACGAACAACTAATTCTATTGGTTCAAAAAATACTAACCGAAATTTCTAGAGTATTCAAAAAAAACTATCCGAATGTCCTGAGTATTCTGTTGGAATATTTTAAAAAACAGTATTATTTGAATTTTGTTTTTGTTGAAATTTCTAGCATAAATTATTTTAAGAGTATACTATCAAACAAACTATTATTTTAATTCTTGGAGCCACATCTGCAAAGCTAAAAATGTTTTAAACTAACATTATTTGTTTACAATAATAACTGTTTTATATTTTTATTTTTTAACTTGTCAACGTTTTGTAAATATATTTTAGATTTTATTAGTATATTCTTATTTTTTATATATAGATGTATTTTTATGTATGTAATGTATTTTTATCTATATAATTTTATCTATGTGTATTTTATTCAAATGTGATCTTTTAAAGCAATTTGTGCTATTGATTTTGTAAACAAAAATACTTTCAATAATAACTGCGTTTTCAATGAAATTATTAATAATCGTCAAAGTTAATACAAATAATTTTAACCACTAATCCATTTTCCTCAGTGTACCCGATAACTGATTCTTTCTCCCAAGAAAGAAAAGTTTTTAGGTTCTGAGAAACTGGTTTACTAACTTTGATTATTTTTGCTTCAGCCATTCTTACAAACTCATTATACTTAAAGTTAATTTTTTTCTGTTTTAAATACTAATTAAAATTATGAAGCCCACTCACTAAACATCATCAGCGGTATTGTAAAGCAGTTCCGCTTCCTCCTCACAAAGTAAATTAACGTTTTTTGTTAATTTTTATCTAGCTAATTGAATTTCTACAGTAACTCAATCATTTAATTATTTCATTTGTTCATCTTATTAAGAAGAATTGTTTCAAATGTGTTAAACTTTTTAAACTACGGGAAGCAGTTATTGAAAAAACTTTTATTTATAAATAAATCATCTGGTTGAATCTTGTTGGTCTTTTCAGGGCCAGAGGCTGCATTATTTTGGCTGCCTATTTTATGTGCCACAACGTAAAAATGACTTAAAAAAGTACCAAATGGTCCTTTTGACTATTTCCCCTAACATTGTGAATCCCGGGGCTATAGCCCTACTACTCCCACCCCACTTCCTCAATCCAGCACTGGAAATAAGACATAAGTATATAAATAAAAATTATATATACTCTTTGATAAATCGAAGAATATTTGTTTTTTTATAGTTGTTACTTTATATAAAAAATGTCGCTTTATTTTATAAAAAAAAGTTATAAAAGAGGGACGTTTCAAAAATAATTGCTCTTCGCGTTTTTTCGCATTAAAAGCTATTTTTCTTTTTTTAACTGTCTCTCGTCCGTCCAGTTAACCTTAATGCGCTTTTTGCTTGTTTTTGAAATGTTCTCAAAACGACTAAAAAATCTGGCCGGTTTTTCACAACTAAATAATATTTCCGTGGTCAGTTATCGAGTGGGATCGCACCCGCTTCCTGACCAAGCCTGTGTATATATAGATTATTATTATATTACCAAGCCTGTGTATATATGTTATTATTATATATGTATGTATATTCATGCATGTATGTATATATATATATATATATATATATATATATATATATATATATATATATATATATATACACACATACATATATATATATATATATATATATATATATATATATATATATATACACATATATATATATATATATATATATATATATAAATACATAAATATATATATACATATATATATATATATGTATATATACATATATATATATATATATATATATATATATATATATATATATATATATATATATATATATATATATATATATATGTATACATATATAAATATATATGTATATATATATTTATGTATTTATATATATATATATATATATATATATATATATATATATATATATATATATATATATATATATATATATATATATATATCAATAACAGAACGTGTTTACGTGTTTCATTTCCAATGATTAGATTATATATATATATATATATATATATATATATATATATATATATATATATATATATATATATATATATATATGTGTATATATATATATATATATGTGTATATATATATATATATATATATATATATATATATATATATATATATATATATATATATATATATATATATATATATATATATATATATACATACATGCATGAATATACATACATATATAATAATAACATACATATACATACATATATATTAATGCTAGAAGTAAGTTTTATTTTTATTTTATTAATATATAATTTTGTTTCATACTTTACTCTATTCAAAAATATTCTTGTAGTTGTAAAAATATTAATTTAGATTTCGTAATATGCTCATGAATAGAGGTCTGAGAACTACTGAAAAGTATGTGTTTAAACCTTGTTTAAAGAAAGATTTGGCAGCAGTTTTTCAGCAAGGATTCCCTGTTTGCACTTGCATAACTGATTATGGAAAAATGCCACTTTGCAATACCTTCACGAGTGATCCACATAAAATTAAACTTGATCATAAAATAACCAATGATGATCCTTTCCAATATACCTTTTGTGCACGAATGACAATTTCACTTTCCGATATAAAAGAAAATGGTTTTAATGATTTTCAACGAGAAGCTCAAGATTCGAGTACCTCCCCAGATTTATTTTTTTACGCTCACAATACTAATCAAGTCTATCCAGAGTTTTTAATTGTTTTCAAATCATAGTGATTGGGTTAACAATCATACTAGATTATATTTAATATTATTTTCAAAGCATCCTAAAAATTAATCTATAGATAGTATTCTGTAATCTCAAATCTTTTTATCATTGTTTATAGGTTGTACAGATTAAAAAGCGAAACTCATCAAATTTTTACTCATTTCGAGTACAAGTTTTTTTTTGTTTTTTTTTGTTTTTTGTTATTGATTTATCTTTACATTTCACTCAAAAGTTGTATTGACGTCACGTTTCTCTCTTTCTCTCTCTTGTTCTGACATTTTTTAATAGGTTCTCACTTCTCTTCTAGTTTTAGACTATGACAAAAATATTTTGAATATTAAAAACGATATGAATCTAATCTAAAATTTGGCTTAACTTTAAAAATAAATCGTTGATTTATTTGAGTTTGGCGATGTTTTTAAGATTATATATATATATATATATATATATATATATATATATATATATATATATATATATATATATATATATATATATATATATATATATATATATATATATATATATATATATATATATATATATATATATATATATATCAATAACAGAACGTGTTTACGTGTTTCATTTCCAATGATTAGGAATCACTTTATTTATGTCAAATTATATCTCTTTTGCGTCATAGTCTAAAATTATTTTTAACTACAGGATAATTCTGTAAATCTTTTTTAAAACGAAAGTTTACGGTAAAATGTATGTTAGCAATAAAACGAAAAAAAGCAATTTATATTTATTTTATTATAAAGGAGTTTGTTTGTTCATGGAACAATTATAATTATTCCCAACTTTCATGAAAATTGAACATTTAACTAAAAAAAGTTACATTTTCGGAAGATAATGGGAGTAGTATACTTGATTCCATGAAAAACAAAATACTGATTTTGTAAATAAAATGATTTTTACTAAAAGTTATTATCATATTTACAGTATTTTTATATTTCTGTAATTTACAAACTATTGTTTGGCTTGAAGCGTTTTTATGATATTATTTCTAAACAAATTTAAACCAAAGCGTTTTTATGAAAAGGCGAGTGAGAACAAAACAGACAACACAAGAATTCGTAATTATTTTTTAATATAAAATTAAGCTCGTTTGAACTGAAGAGGAATTTTAATTTTTTCATTAAAAAGAAAATTAAAATTATTCTTAGTTTTTAAAGCATCAAAGTATAAATTTTCTTATTTGCAAACACTTTGTTTTTAGCGCGAATTGCAAGCAATATTTTGCAAACAATAATTTTTATTTTTATTAATTTTTAATCTAGTTATCATCAAAGACTAAAATGAAAAGTTTTATCAAAGTTTTCAAGTGTTTTTTTTTTTTTGTTCTGATTCTACTTTTTTTTCTTAAGTCTATTACTATTATTATTATTATTATTATTTTAAGTTTTTATTGATTTTTAATGGGTATTTATTGTAGCACAGTTTTATTTTATCAATATATAAAATTTTTGTAATGTTTTAAAAATAAATTTGGAAAAGCGAAATTTTGTGTAGATTATAAAGTGAAATAAAAAATGTAAATTTTTATTTTATTGTTTCCATTATTTTCTTTTTCCTTTAAAACATTTAAAAATAAACTAAATGGTATTATTCAGAGGTAAGTTCTATAGGGGGCATCCATAAAGTACGTACGCAGTAAAACCACTAATTTAGAACTCCCCTCCTCTTGTACGAACCTGTACGTTTTCGCAGCCCCCCCCCCGCCCCCTCCTTGGTGTACGTACGTATAATTTTTTTTTTTAATGAACTCGATTTTTTTTTCTATCCTCATTGATTATAGAGATTATTAAAAAAAAAATTGTGAAGTCAGAGGAAAAAAAATCAACTCTGATTTGTTACACACGTGAAATTTAATGTTTAAAAAAAATAAAATCAAGTTTATGTAGTCAACCGCGTACGTGCTATTTAACCCTCCCTCCTCTTGTGCGCGTTCGTGCGCTTTTGGGAAACCCCCCTCCCCCCATACCTGCGTACGTACTTTATGGATAGCCTCTTACTAAAATAAGCGTTATACTTTAAAAAAAAATTATTTGTAAGCATCACGTATCCTCTGGGAAGTTTGGTTTAACATAGTTCAAAACAATAACTTTCTAATCATTTACGAAAAAAATTTTTGTTTCGTTTTGTATTGTTTTTATCGAAACAATTTTTTTCATCGTTTTATATCGTACTGATATTTTCATTCCGTGAAAAATACTATTACTTTTTATCGTACGTGAACTATTACTATTTACCATGAATACTAGTTAAAATATTTATGGTTTCACCGTTACGAAAACATAGTATTATATCATAATAACTTTCCGTAAGAAATGTTAAACCACTGATGAGAGCATGCGACATTAAAATTTGGCTTTAAAATCTCAATAAACACGTGTATCTTTTGCTTCCTCGTTTTAGTCTAGTAGAATTTCAATACAACCAGGAATAAAATACTATAAAGTTGAAACTTTGTACAAGTCAACTGAAATATATAAAAAGTCATGCTATTTTGGGCCTAATTAAAAAGATGCAGCAAGTCTTGTTAACAGAATGGTTGGGTTAACATGCATAGAGTTGCCTTCCTTCAGTTTTATTACATTATGCAACGCATACAGTGGTTTTATTTGGTTGCGACGTCTGATTTTAGTTTTGGTGATAACTAAGTTGTCTAACTTGTTATGAATCATCAATCCTATTTCCTCAGATTTTTCACAATTTATATCATCATTTTCAATAATGCAGACAAGACCTGTTGATAGAAAATGCAAGTTTGAGTCTTGATATATAAACGGATTTCGTCTCCTTAACCTTTTACAAATTTTTTGCAGTCTAAAAAATCCCTTATACGTCTTGCTGACCCCATTATGTTGTTCGCTTGTTTCTATTTCACACCCTGTTAAGGTTATCATGGCTTCGTATATAGCCGCAATGGAGTTGTAGTACCCAAAGAGTTCTGACACTTTCTGTTAGTACACGTCCTCGAGTTAAGCCGCCTCAATTTTTTACAGAACGCATTAATGTTTGTTCTATTACCAAATCAGAACAAAGCCCCGCCCAATAACGACTAGTTCTTCTTACAGCATTTGATCCATTATAAAAGCAGTCACTAAACCAAGAACTTTTAAGACACCAGTGTTCCATTTCTTGAACATAAATTCTGGCACTCTTGGCGTAGTTTATGTGCCCAGTTGCAGCAAATAAATTTAGCATAAACTTTGTTGTATGTAAGTGGAGAGACTAATTTGATGCAATAATGAAGTTTTAAGCGATTGCAACATACTCCATATATTGAAGCCAGAGTTCTAGATTATGATTTCAAAGAATTGATGAAATTGTCTACTTTACTCGAAACAATGATAAATTGTTCTGTTTTTACAAACTTTCTACAAAAGCAACTTAAATTTACTAAAAACAAAATGTGGTGTATCTATTTAGTTACTCATTAACTAAATTGTTTATATATATATGTTAATACAAATCGATCAAAAATAAATAAACAGTAATATTAATAACAAGGTATATATGTAACGCATACATATATAACACGTATGCAACTGATTTTTTATGTGTATTACACGTCTAGAAAAAGGTACTCGATGACAAAACTGACTTAGTCTTCTGCGAGTTTCCTATAACTACTAACAAGTAATTTTTCTTATCAATCTTACACAAATTTTGTTTTTATCATATTTATACACAAACATCATTTTGAAATGTAGTAAACAAACTTATAGTGCAACATCTAAACACTCCTCCAAAAAATCAGCAGATTTATTTTTATTTATTGTATTTTTTATTTTAATTGGATGAATATAGAGATATATTTTTCGGATTATTTTTACATTCAAATTATTATATTGTTGTAATTGGTATTTTTTTTAATCATGTTTTGGAGTTGCTTGCAACTTTATTTTTATTTAATTCGATTATTACGAACTTTATGTTTATGATATTTATATTTGTATATCTTTACCATCAATTTGTGATTGGTTACTTGTTAATACTTTGTAGTTGTAAAATAAACACGAATAAAAAAAACAAACTCAAATTAGTCTTTAGTTAAAGTACTTTTCATTGCTTTTTCAAAAGTAGGTTGAAACGAGAAAAGATATATCTCTCCGTCATTAACAAGGATACCCAGCAGTATAATTTTAAGGGCACTTTCTGCTATAATGTGCTCACGAAGCGACCGTGCAATAGCTTTTCCGAACATCATGTGTTTAATACTATTTTCTGCGTATATCTCTTAAACAACTCCTCCAAACCAGATCCTCCCATATGTTTACTAATGCTTCCAATGTAACTCATTATAGTATGAAATCCACCCAATCTACATACTATATTGAGATTCTTTTCTTTAATGATTGCTGTCGCTTTTATCCATAACAGTTGGTCAAAGATTACAAAAAGTATTAGTATGTTTAATTTTTCAGCCTGATTTATACCATAACGAAGGGTGGAGTAAATGCATGTTTCATCAGAAGAATTGAGATCAATTATTGGAAAGAACAAAACTAATTAATTTAGCTGACAAATTATTGTATCAGTTACTAGTTCCATAAAACCTGACCAATTTAGCGGAGATGCCATTTCTCTGTAAGGTTTAAATTTAATCATCTGAAAGCCAATACCACAAAAAACCTAAATAAGATAATATCTTAACACCATGATCCGTAACTAAATCAGGTGTTTTCTTTTTTTTTGTTTTAAACGTTTTATAGAATTTTTTTGGCATCCGGATACCGAGCTAAACGTGTGGCAGTATTGTGGTCTACATTATCAGCAACCCACTGAACAACAGATAGCAGCCTTTCTTGTAGATTAACTGTGTTATTTGCGTCAATGGCAGATTGTTTGAAGCAAAGGGTTTCATCTGATGTGATAGAGAATCCAAATTTTGAAAGATGATCAACTAGCCACTTTGTAAACTTTGTAAACTAGTAAACTTTGTCATATATGTGTTATGATCGATGTAACTTTCAAGACGTCCAATTACTGTTTTTTCCCACGCATCATTTCTTTCTAAACACATAATAAGTTTTTCACGAATCGGTAAAGTTGTTACTTTAATAACAGGGCTTCTTTTATTGTCACCATTTTTTTTTTGCAAAGAAAACAATCTTGTTTGCAGCCAAAAGAGTTCCCAAGAATAGAAGGTAATACCAAAGATCGTAACAACTTAGATTTTTTGTTTGTTTGCAGAGTTCTATGATCTACAAATGATCTTCTGCAGCTATAATGAACTAGAACTCTACCTATCGGTTTCTGATTTTTCATAGAATTGAAATACGCTTAATCCCTTTAACTGAACAATGACATGTGACTCTTTACTGAGATTTTGTCAATGATTTACCGTTCTTTGCATATTGAACACTTTTCTTCGACGGCAAATTG